TTGGTCTCTCCTCCCTTAATAAACCCTCCTGCAATAGTATATAGGGTGTGATGCACAATCTTGTCGCCATATTGTTTGCTCAACTCCTTCCTTTTCTAGGATCGGAGCTTCCAACATTGTCACACCTGCGAGAACTGGCTTCACCTGACCTTTGAGAGGAGTCTCATTTGACGTATTTCTTAAGGTGACTCTCCTAGACCAGACACTTTATCTCTTTTTTAAGCTAATAAAAATCTTCAGTGTGGTGTCTGTTAACCTTATGGAACTTGCACTATTTTCCTGGCTCAGGCCCCATTGCCTATGCTTTTAGGGTTGAAAGTGCAATGATATAATGAAAAGTGGAAAAGCTCCTGCCATATCTGCCCGCAGCAGGTGTTCAGGGTCCCCTAAAGCTCTCTACGACTTTTCCACCTCGCTTAAAGGTTATCTTATCCCTGACGGACAAGGTGTAGTTGTTCTTCTGTGGATGCTGTGAGGCTTCAGTGTTAGGAACACACTCTTTCACGTCATGAGCCTTCTTATCGGCAATACTTTCTTTGTCTTTATATAACTCACCGCCTTTAGGACCACTTCTGCTAACGAAGATGCCAACTTGTTGGTGAGGGATTCGTTCAAGTGCCCTACTTTGAGACCATTCTGAAGCGCTCCAACAAATATTTCTTGGTTCGGGTGGATGACTTTTATAGCGACTTCATTGAAACAGGCGAGGTATTTCCTCAGTGACTTTGAAGGCCCTTGCTAAATGTCAAACAAGTTGGTGATGGACATATTTCTATGTCGGCTTGATGCGAACTGGTGCACGATTTTCTTCAACAGATCCTGGTAGTTGGCGATGGAAATTCGGGGTAGGCCCATGTACCATCAAAGAGTTGCATCCTTGAAAGTTTCAGATAAAAGCTTGCATTTCAGAGAATTTGACGCTCTGATGATGACCATCTATGTGTTGATGGATGTGACATGTTCGCAAGGGTCGCTACGTCCATCAAACTTCGTCAAGGAGGGAGGCTTAAAACCTTCGAGAACAAGTGTTTCCTATATCTCGTTTGAGAGTGGCTAAGGATTTAACACTTCCATCTCCTTTATAGGGTTAGCCCCATGCTAGCGTTGTTGAATGTTAGGGACATTGACCTCTAGAATTTGGTTTTTATGGCGCAACTCGTCTATGGTGGTGCACGTCTCTTCCATGGCATTAGGATCGTTTCTACCTCAAGTATCCTCCTGCATGAGAGATTGTACCCTTATAGAAACCATGATTGAGGGACAGTTAAGGTTAGGAGTGAAGTCTTTAGTGAGTGTTAAAGTGGTGGTGATAATGAAAGGTGTGACCCAGGTCAGTTTTACCGAGACCCCATAGTGAGCGCTATTATACTTGCAAAATATAAGTACATATGTGTGACACCACTAAGTTGGTAGTGGTGGCCAGAGTTTTTGGGTGTTAAGGGAGACTCATGAGGGTGAGTAGTCATATTTTGAAGGTGTTTTATGTGCGGTTAGAGCAAGCTCGCGAGGGTGAGAAGCTCTACTCATGGGATATTTTCGGTGAATAATGGATTCTCCCCTCTCAACCATAAAGTTGAAATATTCATAGATGCCTATGTGCTTCGATTTAAGATTTCCTAAGGAGTAACAACCATCTTTCCTTGATCGCGAGACTTGTCGATTTTCTACTTCTCAGAAAATCGTGATCTTGATCGCTTCCTCACGCGGTTATGGACTGTATACACGTCACGATCCATGTTTTCTATCAGGGCGAGCCTACTACTGAGTGGGGATCAATGCCCAAACGACATATTTTAGAGCAGACGCCTAATAAAGACTGGTCTCATATCTCCCTATTATGGGTGTTTTACAAATATATTATTACCATTATAAAAAATAAAATATGTATAAAACAAGTTTTTACTGAATACTCTTTTAAAAATAAATCTATGTTTTTATTTATTTATTTCTAAAACAATTTTGAAAATAAGATTGATAGATATATTTTATTTTTCTTCAAAATAATTTTGTAAAATTAATTAAAAAAAACTGATTCAAATATACTCTAAATGGTAGTGATTTCCAAAACTAATATTTTGTTTTCAGAAATTCCAGAACCCATATTAATACAACATTGACCAAAATTCTAACAAGCATAATTTTTATTGGATAATGATAGAATAAATAATACTACCCCCACTGACTTCATTAAACATGTTACATGCCCTGAATGAGCAAAACATAACTTAGTAGTTAGTTCCCAACTGTATTTCTGTAGCATATGTTTTTAATCTAGTCTTCCCATCCCAACTATGCTGTTCATTACAATAACTTCATATTTACACCAACTTAACTTATTTCTACTCCGACACATTCACCCGGTCGATTTTTCGATAGTTATTTTATTGAAACTATATGATCTAAATTTCAATTTTATGTTATTTTTCTAAATTTAAATCATCTGATTTCGATTTAATGATCAATGATACATCGATAACACGAAATTAGACACAATTTATAATAAGAATTGAAGTTAACCATAGTTAATATTTATGATTGATTAGGAACCCCACTTGTTACCAAACTTAGACCTACCACAACCACCTTTTTTGTTCTTCATTTCATTATTCTTTATTCTTTTTAATTACTACTACTAGTTTTTTCCTAGGATCAATTTCCATCAAATAGTATGAATTAAAAATTTAATCACAAGAGTTCACTTCACATGTTTTGTTCAACCTCACATTTACTCTAGCTAGTTTAATTTGGTGTACATTAACTCATTTGTCTCAGTTTTTTCCTTAGAAATTAATTTTATTACCTTACTCACTTGTTTCTTTTAGTGTACATTAACTCACGTGTCTCTCATTCTTTTCCTTACTAAGAAATTAATTTTGTTAGTTTAATTTGTACATGCTTGTCTTCTGTATTTCTTTTGTCATTTTTCTCAAGCTGAAATTTAAAATACATTGATTTATGCATAAAGTCCCACTATGGCACTAACAGCTTTTGTCATCATTATCATACCATGCCCAACTTTGCCAAAGTGTGTAAGCATTGACAAATGCACGAAAAAAAGCTTTTTTTTAATCTGTAATCAACTATACAGTAAAAATAGCTGTGGACTTTTTCTTTATTATTATTATCCTATTGAAATTTTTTACCATGTAGTATATGATTGCTTCTGTGAGCACATCATGCTGTGAAGGGGGTGTTGATTAGATCACGGGAGGTACGAGACATCAATTATGGCATATTATAATCATCTTTTTTTTTTTGTTGAGAAAAAGTAAGGATTGTTAAAGAGGGTTTCTATTATCAGTGATGACAGACACACCACATGTAGAATTGATAAAAAAGAAACCTATATAACTTTATAACAAAGGAAATAAAATAAAGATATTTTGTACCAAAAAATATTATATGTTTGGTTACTATTGGACAAAATTTGTCTCCTCTATTTAACTAAAAGTCTAGAAGTGATTTAAGTGTGTTAGGTAGAAAATTTTGCACTATATTTTATTTCACAAACATTTTCAACATAGTTCACTTTTTTAAATTCATTTTAAATCACATTACTGAAATACCAAATCATACACTAACATTTCAATCAGCATAACTTCACAAGATTTAGGTGAGTAGGACATTTATATTATTCTACTTTATGTTCCTAGTTGTTCCTCTAGGATTCTAAAACTATATACTAATTTGCAATGATAGTGGTGAAAATAATTGATGGAGGCTAGGATCTCCCTTTCTTTTTCTCAATGACAAAAAAGAAAAAGATAGTGGGAAAATAGAAAAATTTGCATCTCTCCTAGCCTACTTGAAAAAAAAAAACATCTATACTGAAAATAAGGTAAGGATATTAATAAGGGATGCATGAACTTAGGCCTCAAATTATAATGCTGTGTTTCTTTTACTATTTTACTAAAGTCAGCTATGAACACACCATGCTCAATCATTATCGTTTTACTATTATTGAATTTCAAATTGCATTAGCAAAAGGAATCATCATTAAGTAAAACTAACCCAAGTTTTCTTATTTTCTATAAATATTCCAAATTTTATATAGCAAAAATTTGGTTCATATTTTGGGCAAACTTTCTAAGTAATATAAAAAAATGGTCCCAAAACTTTGTGTACCCTACCCTAATTATTCAACACGCTTTGTACCCACTCATAGATAGATTTCAAAGCTAGCTAGCATTATCTCTAAGGAACTCATAAACTGTGGTCAATATCAAACACATAAATATATATACAAGATAGGAAGAAGATTATACACTTACATATTTTTCAATTTGTAGCATTATAGCATAGTCATAGATTGTGCCTGCCCCATTTATTATTCCAATGCGTCAACTACACGTTGCTAATAGGAAAACTATTGACAAGTTTTTTGTCGTAATTAAAATGGTGCATGAAGTACAAGTATGAACTAAAAAAAAGAAAGAGAAAGTTGAAATTGAAAGCAAAAAAAGAGATTAGTGAGAGATATTAATGAATGCAACAACGATGACCTAATACCCTAGCCAAATGTAAAAGCAACAAGTGATTGATAATAATTGATCATTACTATTGATAGACACAAATGAAAACAAAAGATATACATGCAAGTTTTCTTGTTTCATACACAAATTAATATTATTTTACAGCGCAACTTCAGAGATTAATCTCGTCGAGTAAAACTATCTCTGTAATAGAGGTTAATTCTTAAATCTGCTTATATTTTTAGTTAATGAATAGTATTTTTCAATGAAGAGGCAAATATATGTAACATAAGAAAGTGAGTTTTAATGTTTCCGTTGATTTCGGTGTTCTGTTAATGCGAGTCCCATTAAAATTCCAACATTCATCATCTTCCGCAATTGTCGGAAAAACAAAAAGTGAACCAAACAACGTTTTCTCTCGGTCGTGTCGTGCGGTGCAGTTACATTACATAAACAGTAGTTGATGTTGTTGTGTTCATCCTGTGCAGTTCAAACGAACCAGAGGAATGTGTTGATGAGGCATTATTCATGGGTTGTGTGTTTGTGAAGCAAGGGGTGTCTGTGACACCTGCCGTTGACCACTCTGTTGACTCGGAGAGGAATAATAGTAGTATTATTAACAAGAACAAGAAGAAGAAGAAAGATAGTGCTGAGTCAGTTGGATTGAGTTGGAGCGAGGTGGGTGAGTCAGGGAGAACGAGTTTGAATGGTGGAAATGAGTCTCTGAGTTTCAGGTTAGGGAATCTTAGTAAGTATGTGGAGGGAGAACAAGCCGCCGCCGGATGGCCGGCTTGGCTTAGCGCGGTTGCGTCTGAGGCAATTCATGGTTGGGTTCCTCTCCGTTCTGATGCATTTGAAAAGCTGGACAAGGTTTGTGATAGTCGTAGAATGTTTGGTTTTCTGAGTTGTGTGTAAAATGCTGCATTTTTCTGCTAGTAGTGTTTATGTTTTGTTTTTTGAATTTGGAAATTGTGTGAATAGATTGGGCAGGGGACGTATAGTAGTGTTTTTCGAGCGAAGGAGATTGAGACAGGGAAGATAGTGGCTTTAAAGAAGGTGAGATTCGACAATTTTGAGCCAGAAAGTGTGAGGTTCATGGCAAGAGAAATTATGATTCTTAGAAGACTTGATCATCCCAACATCATTAAACTGGAGGGGTTGATTACTTCAAGGTTGTCTTGTAGCATCTACCTTGTATTTGAGTACATGGAACATGATGTCACAGGGCTCTTGTCGAAACCAGAAATCAACTTTACTGAATCACAGGTACTTTTGCATTATGAATAATATTGGTTGTGAATTGTGGTGAAAGGTTGATTAAATGGATGAAGTGATTTTGTTGTGCAGATCAAATGCTACATGAAGCAGTTGTTATCTGGTCTCGAGCACTGTCACTCGAGGGGTGTAATGCATCGGGACATCAAAGGATCGAATCTTCTGGTGAATAATGAAGGGATATTAAAGGTAGCGGATTTTGGATTGGCAAATTTCTGTAGTTCCGGGAGTAAACATCCGCTCACAAGCCGCGTTGTCACATTATGGTACCGTCCTCCGGAGCTTTTGCTTGGTTCAACAGATTACGGTCCGTCTGTGGATATTTGGAGTGTTGGTTGTGTATTTGGAGAGTTTCTAGTTGGGAAGCCTATACTTAAGGGGAGAACAGAGGTAGTGATACCAATCTTTTCAAAATGTATGCACTTTTCTCCTTCCCCGTTTGATTTTTCGTGTTGCAGATTCCCCTCTAGTGGATTATAAACAAATCAAATGGAAATGATAACTTCAATATTTTGTTGTAACTGTTCTTTTGAACCTCTTTTGAATCATCTTTGTTATGTTTACAGGTTGAACAATTGCACAAAATCTTCAAGCTTTGTGGCTCTCCGCCGGATGAATACTGGAAAAAGACCAAACTACCTCACGCGACTTTGTTCAAGCCACAGCAACCCTATGATAGTTGCTTAAGAGAAACATTTAGAGATTTTCCTGCAACCAGTGTAAATTTGTTACAAAATCTTCTTTCTATAGAACCAAACAGACGCGGAACCGCCTCATCTGCTCTCTCATTGGAGGTAGCTTAACTTAGCAGTGCTTTATTTCTGCTTCCTACAACTTTTCCTTCAATGATTAATCTCTATTGCAGAACATAGTCTATTTTTATTGATCCTACAATCTTTTATTCTTACCACTTTCAGTATTTCAAAACAAAACCTTATGCCTGTGACCCATCGAGCTTACCGGTATATCCACCTAGCAAAGAGATTGATGCAAAACACGACGAGGAGACAAAACGGTAAACTTAATCTCTTTTATAGCATGGTCACACCACACATTGTTACTTGCCTTTGCATTAAATCATATATGGGGATGGACTTTCAGGAAAAAGATTGCTGGGCGAGTTTGTGGACCTGAAAAAAGACGATCATCGAGAAAGCCAGTAGGACTGAGTAAATTACCTCTACCAGAGGTCTATTTTTCTTTCTTTCATCTTTCATCGTCGTGTTTTGTTCCTGAGGTGCACAAAGATTTTTATGCAGCAACGGTCTAGTTATCAAAACATAATTCTCACCTAAATCTTACTCTTACAGGACTTGACTAGGCAAATTCAAACTTCACAAAAGACAGATGATAGATCCATTCACATCCTTAAAGAAGAGAACACTAACATAGGCGACGAGGCATCAAAGCGATCCGGTGGTAAACCAGAAGATGCTTCCGATATGAAGAATGCATCTCAAGTTGATATTCCCTTTCATGGACCATTACAAGTTTCAAAATCAAGTGGATTTGCATGGGCAAAAAGGCGTAAAGACGACACCACTTCAATTAGATCCCACACTCGATCTATTTCTAAAGGACATATATTTAATTCATTAGAAACTTCTACACAAAATTCAAGGAATATTTGTGATGACAATGAAAATAAGGAAGTTTTTGGAGGACGAACCAGCTCCAGAGGCCATGATGTATTTGAAATTTCTAAGCTAGTGGTGCAAAATCAATGGAGTAAGTTTGATCGCCCGGATTCATTTGATACTTGTGAAGAGTACCACTCCCAAGAACTGTCGATGATGGTTTATCATAGAGAAGATTCACTGTCCAAGAGAAGTAATCGGGTAAGTTTGTGAATTTGGCAGATAGTATATGCATCCTTGCCTAGACAGGATTCTTATTTGTTTCCCTCCATTGCAGAGTTATCAGGATCAAGGAGAGAAGGTTGAATTTTCAGGGCCACTAATATCTCAAATGCATACAGTTGATGAGCTCTTAGAAAGACACGAGCGCCACATTCGGCATACAGTCCGAAGATCATGGTTCCAAAGAGGTATGTGACAGTAATATCAAGAAGATTGTGGCCATAAGAACAAGGACATGTTTTTTATACTTTCAATACTGTCCGTTCTCCCTAATTTTTGTGTCCATGAACTAGACTTCTTAAAACAATGTTATAAATATCAATACTATTAACTTATTTGTGAACTGAGAATGTTCAGAAACCATTTTTAATGTGCGATTCTGGGATTGCAGGTAAGAAGCTTGGGAATTAAAGTAACAGAAAATGTAATAGTTTATTCATATGGCACAATGGAAGGACATAGATGTCCTGTGAGACCCCAAGCTCAATGCTGTGACTGTGAACAAGAAAAGAAGATCGGTATGTACAGTATATACAGCAGCATGAGTTAATACCTATAGGGAGCATTGTGGTTCTTTCAGCTTTCATTTTTCATAGTTTGTTTAAGCTTCAAAGGAATCAGATTTAACAGTTTCTTTATCAAAGAGAGTGCTGAGCAAGCAGCCCAATTTTGTTGAATTCCTCGATCCTCAATCTTTTATGACTTTTCAAAACCCAACTTTTCACAAAGAAAATACTATCATATTCTCTGCATCTTTCCAATTGTATCTTATGCTCCACGAGGGGACACTGGACTGGGTTATGTGTGAGCTTTATAACGGCTAACATTATTTGTAAACGAACCCGCGTGTGACTTCAATGGCAACTACACAATATGCAGAGTTGCTTGGCCTTCACCACATGCAAATGCGAGCAATAATTTCAGTGTTTGGTTGGGCCTTGTAAATGCATATAAAAACATATCACAAATCTGAATATTTGACAGCATTGTGAGAAAAATGATAAGCTTAAAATGAAACAATGTACATGGTAAGAGTTAGCAGTAGATTAATGAAAGAAGAAACAGTAAACTACATATAATAACATAGAGAAGCAAAAGTTTTACCTGCCGAATCAATGAGAGTAACATACTAGAGAACCAAATATTCTACCCACCAATTTCCATGAAGTGTGCAAGAGGTTAGAAATGTTGCAATGAGCAAGACATATAAAAGTGAGCACTGCATTGTTATGCTTGAATTACTTGAAACCAAGGTTAACACGTGACATGAGGGACACATAGGATCATGGTTTGAGAGAGCTTTAGAGTTATTTTCCAGCTCCTGTGAGCAAAGATAAATTAAGCATTGAATACAAAAGAGAAAAGTGTGATTACTAAAATTATTTATGTAATTAAAGTTGAAGATAAGAGTAACATAATCCAGTGACAAAATTTTAATGTGTTAGTCGTAATTTTAATTTGCTTTGATGTGTTAGTCGTAATTTTAAACTTGGTTACCGTTTTTCTTGACATCATTTTTCTTTTCAATTTCAAACACAATAACTTTGATGTGTTAGTCGTAATTTTAATTCAGTTTCATTTGCTTTTAAATCTAATTTGTATTTAGCTTAGGCTTGTGTATATAAGTTAAAGTTTAGTTTGTTTAGATATAAAATTCATCCTAATCGTTTTTTATTTTAGAGTAAAAGTTAATTACATAATTTTCCTTCTCTTTCATCTTTAACCTTGTGCCCGACAATTAGAATCTAGAGTTCCGGTTTTAATTCAGGAACGGAAAACACGAGTGTTGGTGAGATCTGAGTGATTTGCAAAAGAACGAAGATGAACGGAGGAAATAGTAGCCTGAACACAAAGCTTTCAGTGTTTGATGGAAAGAATTGAAACCAATGGGTGATTCAGGTGCGTGTGTTGTTTGAAACTCAAGATGTTCTTGATCTTGTCAATGACGGTTACACCCTAATTGTAGAAAATGCAATGGAAGTGCAGAGAAACGCGCAAAGTGAAATGAGGAAGAAGGATCAAAAAGTGTTGTTCTATGTCCATCGATTTGTGGATACGGCTATGTTTGAGAAAATTATTGGTGCGACCACGGCGGAGGCGGCATGTGATACACGAGTGCAGTATTATGGTGGCGACGCTTCAGTGAAGAAGGTGAAGTTGCAATCTCTACGTAAGTAATATGAGAATCTCAGCATGAAAGACAATGAGAAAGTACCTGAATATATCTCCAGAGTATTGAGGTCACAAATGAGATGAATGCTTCTGGAGAAACGCTCTATGAACAAGTTATTGTTGAGAAGGTACTCATATCACTTACTACTCATTTTGATTACATAATTGTATCTATTGAACATTCTAAAGACACCAGTACCATGTGAATTGAAGAAAGTTAGAGCAGTCTGGGGGCACAAGAATTGTGCTTGACTAAGAGGAACTCTGAAACAAAGTATGAACGGGCTCTGAAGGCTGCTTTTGTCAAGAAGAATCATAAGCAAGCATGGCCAGAGCACAAGAAAAGGCATGGTGATGGTGGCCAAAAATTAGAATCCTCCAATCCAGATGAGAAGAAACACAAGAGTGTTCAGAAGAGAAATGAGAAATTTGACAAGAGAAAGATTCAGTGTTACAATTGTAATAGGTTTGCCCACTTTGTTGATGACTGTAGGCTAGACAAGGATGGTAAAACTGCACTAATTCAGGATGTGTGGTTTGTTCCTGGCATGAAGAACAATTTGATGAGTGTTGGTCAGCTAATTGAAAAAGGTTTTTCAATAATCATGAAGGATAATCTCTTGAAGTTGTATAATTGTAATTAGAAGTTGATTATGAAGTCTGAACAGGGAAAGAATATGACATTCAAGATGAATGTTAAAATTACATACTCTCAATACCTTAGTGCAACAAGTATTGTAAAGGAAAGTGAGTAGTGGCACAAGAGATTGAGGCATCTGAACTTCAAAAGTTTAGGGCATCTGAATTCAAAGAATATGGTTCATGGAACTCCTAAGATTGTGGCTTCAGAAAAATCATGTGGTGTATGCATGAAAGGAAAACAACCAAGATTTTCATTTTCATCAGAAATGCCTCCAAAAGCAAAGCATGTTTTAGGTGTGATACATTTTGATGTATGTGGATCATTTCTAGTACTTTCACTTGGAGAGAACAAATACTTTGCGTCATTTGTGGATGAGTTTAAAAGAATGACATGGGTATCCCTCATAAAGTCCGAACACGAGGTATTTGTTGAATTCAAGAAGTTCAGAGTCAAGGCTGAGAATCAAAGTGGATAGAGTCTGAAGATTCTCAAAACTGATGGTGGATGTGAGTACAACTCTACAGAGTTCAAGAAGTACTATGAGGAGAATGAAATTGAGCACGAAGTTACTTCTCCATACACTCCTTGACATAATGGTCTTGCTGAAAGAAGAAGCATAATTTTGCTTGATATGACCAGGAGCATGCTGAAAAAGAAGAATTTTCCGCATACATTGTAGGGTGAAGTTGTTGCAACTTTATCATATGTGCTCAATGGATGTTCCATAAAGAAGTTTAAGGGAGTGATTCCTATTCAAAGGTGGACTGGAAGCAAGAAAAATGTGAGTTATTTGAAGGCGTTTGGTTATGTTTGTTATAAACATGTCCCAATGCTAAGAGAATGAAGTTGGATGATAAAAGCACAGTTATGTTGCTTGTAGGGTACCACAGTACAGGGGCTTATAAGCTCTATTGTTCTGCCTTCAACAAAGTTTAATTAAGCAGAGATGTCATTGTGAAAGAAGCATAAGTGTGGGATTGAAGCAAGTCTCAATCCAACTGTGACTCAGGTGCAGTGATAATTCCCGAGTTACATTCTGAAGGTACTTCTGACTCTGAAGGAGAATCTATCTCTGAAGGGGATTCTTCCTCTGAAGATGATTAAGAGTTTGAAGGTGACTCTGATGCTGAAGTTGAGTCTGAAGGTGAATCTGATGATGATTCATATTTTGACGATGACCTAGATTTATATGATGATCTATACTCTGGAAGTAATCTAGCCTCTGAAGATGGACCTTCTGGAGGTGGAACTTCTGATGGTAATCCAACTTCTAAAGGTATAGCTTCTGAAGTTGTAGTTTCTGAAAGTGGGCATGCCTCTTAAACTAGGCCATAGAGAATTCGACCGATTCCACAAAGGCTTGCAGATTTGAATTGCTCCAAGATAGTGAAATTGCTTATAAAGGGGAAATTATTCAGTGTTTCATGATGGTGGGCGTTGAACCTATCAGTATCAATGAGGCACTTAAGAAGAAAAAGTGGTTGAAGGCTATGAAAGAAGAACTTCAGGCAATTGAAAGAAATCAGACATGGGAGTTAACTATGTTGCCCAAGGACAAGAAAGTCATCAGTGACAGATGGGTTTTCAAGATAAAGCTGGAACCATATGGGTCAATTTCTAAGTACAAAGCAAGGTTAGTAACTAGAGGATTTCTACAGAGTTATGATTTAAACACTTTAAAGTGTTTGCTCTTGTAGCTAGACATGAAATAATTAGACTGGTGATTGTTATAACAGCTAGTAAGAATTGGCCGACGCATTTAGATGTGAAGTCTTCCTTTCTAAATGGTCTTTTATAAGAAGGATTTTATGTGTCACAATCTCCTATATTTTTGAAAAAGAATCAGGAAGGGATGGTGTACAAGTTGCATAAAGCCTTGTATGGACTGAAACAAGCTCCTGGAGCTTGGAATCTGAAAATTGATTCATTTTTCAAGCTTCAATGATTCAGAATGTGTGAGATGGAGATGGTGTATATGTTTAAAATACCTCTGATGACAATATGATTATGGTGTATCTTGATGTTGATGACATATTGCTGACAGGGAGCTGTATTTCTAAAACGAACAAGTTCAAGAAGGTGATGATGAATGCATTTGAGATGACTAACCTTGAAAATATGACATATTTGCTAAGGGTGAAGATTTTGTACTCTGAGAAAGGAATCATCATGCATCAACTGAAGTATGAACTTGAATTTTTGAATATATTTAATCTGATAAACTGCAAGTCTGCAGTTACACCTTCTAAGACAAACCATAATTCGGACTCTGATTCTGAAGGTGATGATGTAGATGCTACAACTTTCAAACAGTCAGTTGGTTGTTTGAGATATTTGTGCAATACCAAACCTGATATTTGTTATGCAGTTGAAATAACGAGTAGGTTTATGAGTAAACCAAAGTGGTCACATTATCAAACTGACTGTGAAAAGAACTTTGAAGCATGACATTTTATTTCCATTTGGAGAGTCAGATGATGTTGAGTTGATATGCTACTCAGACTTTGACTAGTGTGGAGACAAAGTTGACAGAAGAAACACTACGGGATACTTGTTTAAGTACCCGGAGGCCCCCATTTCTTAGTGTTCTAAGAAGCAACTAGTTGTTACTTTGTCAGCCTGTGAAGTTGAATACATTGTTGGTGAATTATCAGCGTGTCAAGCTGCGTAACTAATGAATTTGTTGTAGGAACTGAAGTTTAAGGTGAGCAAACTAGTCAAAATAATGATAGACAATAAATATGACATAAGCCTTGCAAAGAATTCAATGTTGCATGGGTTAAGCAAGCATATAAAGACAAAGTTTCATTTTCTGCGCAAGGTCAACAGGTTAATTGAATTACTCGATTATTGTCGTTGACTAATTCATTAAGTGAGTTGAGATTAAGATGCTAGCTAATAGATCGACAATAATATCCTTTATTTCTTTAAAAGAAATAACATAACAAGGTAAAAAAAAATAATATATTGTTATTTTTTATACCGTGATGATAAAATTTTATATATTAATTATAAAATTAAAAAGCATTGTTAATAAAATTATTTGTTTAAGAAGTATAAAAATAATGGTTTAATACCCTTTTTAATCTTGTATCTTAATTACAAGGTTTATTTTAGTCTCTTAACTTTAAAAAGACATATATCGGTCTCTTAACTCTTCAAAACGTTTTATATTAGTCTTTTTTGTCTAATTAGCGACTGATTTTTAATTTTTTTGTCGCTAATAGAGTAAAAAAGACTAATATGAAACGTTTTAAAGAGTTGAGGGATCAATATGAATCATTTTTAAGTTAAGGGAGTAAAATAAATCTCAAAATTAAGATACGAGACAAAAAAAATATTAAATCAAAAATAATTCAACAAGATTATAATTATTCTGCTAATGGCTAAACTTTTATATCCACTTTGCTAAAGGCATACTGGTTAAAAATATCAAATAAAGAAAATATAATATTTTATGTTTAGTATATTGAATAAACACAAAGGTTAATTATTTATGTTTTTAGCATATTGAATACAAATATTTTTAAGAAAAACTTGTCTTTTTAATCAAATAAAAAATGTACAACTTAACCTTTTAATATCTTAAAGAGTGTTTCCTAAGCACTCGTTAGTATTTTTTTTTTTTTATGTAAATCATAGTCTGAAATGCATATTTTTCCCTCAAGCATTTTCCCACCCTTTCCTTCCTTCTCTTGTTATCAACAATTTGTTCAAGGCAGCAGACAATTTGCATATATCACAAATTCACAATAATATAATATAATGGTTAATGCTTTCAGTGTTGCATTGCTAACACTGGTAAGGAGAAACACAGTTTATTCACTTCACTACCCAACACTTCAATTTGTTCAAAAGATTAATTCCTAAGTAAACACTCCAGCCATAAAATATAATGGAAACTCTCAACATACCACTCATAATATAACACAATTTTTCAACAATTTTTCTTTCCAAAAAAACACACCTATAATATTCTATTACAAATTTAAACATCGCAGATTAAACAATAACCTACCACCACATCATCTAAACACTAGTGTATCAGAGTTTTCAACTATAAGACATTGAAACCGGCATAGACACCAGCACAACAATGTCACATTGACATCTGTAATAATTTGAATAAAATTAATATAATTGAATGCAATAGCATTTGTCGAGACGGACACCTGACACACTTCAGGGTTACAGAGATTCCCGAGTTGAGAATTTGCAACAATCTGGTGCTGTAATAAAACCTTTGCTGATGCACTACCCAACAATCCAGTCTTTTGTCTAAATTTACAACTTATATTTTCACTAATGTATTAACACCCACCTTTTAATCATCAAATATAAACCGTCTAGAGTCTAGACGTCAATCTTCACACAAGACAGAAGAAGGAAAGTAAGAATTGTAATGTTTTCTCTGAAAAATAAGAAAAGAGAGTAAGGTAAAAGATTCATCTTCTGTTACTAATTCAAGTCGTCTTGAAAATTTGTTTATTATATATCTAAGATTCATCCTACTATGGCAACTTGCACGCATCTGCGTTGTCTTTTGCTTTTGCCTTAAATTTTCCAAGCATTTCATCAACCGTTCTGCATCTACACTGGTTTCCTGGCCGGATTACATCACCATAAACAGCCATCTCAATTATATCAAGCTCCTTGTCTGTTCATTGATGAAAATTATTAGGTTTCTCTCTAATTGCGAGAAATTGATCATCAAATATTTTCCTTAAAGAACAAGTTAGATAAAAGTAGTTGTGTGGAAGATATAGAACTCAAACAAATCAATATCAGCCAAAATGGAACACTGGCTTTCAATATAGCATTCCAGGTCAAAAGTCAAAACATAACATCCATCCATGGCCAAATTCATATGCAGCATATAAAGCCAAGAAAAACAAATTACAGGAATAACCCCTCACCTAACACAGACACACAGAAAATGGGGGCAAAAAAGGCGCTACAAAATACTCCTAGGATGCAAATGAAAGCATCTTAAGCTGTAAGAATTTAGTAACTCCCTCCAATATGACAAAGGAAGTCAAACAAAAAGAAGTTTTTGCAGATGCTCTTCGATGATGTAACCTATAAAGCACAAAAATCTGAAATTGAAGTATCATCTACAACATTTTGGATTTCCGATTCTCCAACTGAGTAGCTTCAAGTTCTAATATTATTAAGAAAAAATCAACTGCGTTTTAAAATAAAAACTTGTTACTTCAGTTACGAAATTAGATACTACCAACATTTTGTTCCCATATAATATAGCATACAATAAAGAATTCCTTGTGAGTAAAGGACAGGTTCAAGGTAAAAAATTAAAAAAAAAGAAAGAAAGATAAAGAACCATGCTTACCAGTAAAATTAATATCACAAGAGTAGCCTTTCAACTTGTCCGAATCAATCTGATATTTGTCCGATTTTAATCTGTTAACTCTTGATTGAAGTATTTGGCAATTATCAGCTGTCGATTCACCACCTACAATACAACACAACTTCACAAGTCAAGTAGAACAATTATCAAAAGAACAACTTGGATAATATTGTTATATGGTACTTTCTGTGCTTCACTAGTTCTAACTATAAAGCTCTATCTTAGGTTACACTTCTAAATTCCATATTCCCATAGTTCTCTTTAGGAATAATAGCTAAATATTCAGCAATTTTAGTTATACTTCTGAATTCTAACTTTTATGTTCTAGTTAATTCAAAATATGAGGAACAAAATCTGAACAGAAAAGATAAAAACCATATACTCAATCTAATGAACACGGTTCCATGGAAGAGAAAGAAAGAAGAAAAAAAAAAAAGCTAATCAAGTGATGCAATTAGGAAAATAAGGAGGACCCAGAAGAAAATAAAGGATACATATGAAATGGAATGTAAAAGAGTGGAAGAAAAATGGAACCTTTGGAAAAAGGGATGATATGATCGTACTCGTAGCAGAGGCAACCAAGGCAGTTGAAGAAGCGCTTGCAGACAATATTACCGGCGGCATCTTTACGCCACCTTTCTGGGTGACGGCCGGGTACAGTATCAGCCTTTGTCCAGCAGATGCCTTTTGTCTTTGTGTCGAAATGTCTTGGTCTTTTGTCGCCGATGCCGCCGTCGCTATCGCCGCCAGAACGGTGCGGCGAGGTAGTCATTGGAACAGTCGGGAGAAAAAGTGAGAAGCCAAAAATCAAGAGTTTCTTGGATATTGTGCAAGCATTACTTTGAAATTTTAAATAAAAAAGTTATATTTGTCTTGTAAAAAATAGTTCCTATTAAAGATTTAAAAGAAAAACTAATTAATTTCATACATTTAAGAGGATGTAAAAAAAAATTTACTTTTATTTTAATAATTTTTAAAGTAATGCAAACGATAATGGCGATGTTTCACACTGTAAAATTTTTCATATTGTGAATGCATTGTAATTAATTTTTAATTTTATTAAAATTGAATTATCAAATGATAAAATAAAATTAGATATGTATCAATAAAATGAGAGTCGATATTATATAAAATTCTTTGTTTTATCAAGATTATCAGGAATCAAACTAACGTCTCTTAGAAAACTCAACATAAAAGTTATTATTGTAAAAGAAAGACAATAAAGTCTCATATCGGATAATATATAATTTAAATATATATTTATAAATAGAAGTAATATTCGCCTTACAAGTCGGACTTATAAAAATAACTTATGTTTAACTACATTTCTTAATATAGTATCAAGAATTTGGTTTAAGATTCGTTGAACCACATGCTATCGAGTCATCCATTATTTATTTCCACACTCCAAATATACAGTCCTGGACGTGGAGGAGTGTGTTAAGAGTCTCACATCAAACAATATACGACTTGAACAAGTGTTTATAAGTTAGGACAATCATCACCCTACAAGCAGGTTTTGTATGAATGAGTCATGTTTAACAACATTTCTTAACAAAAATATTATGATGACTAATTAAAATGGAGCTAATATCGGTGTTGTGTTGAATTTAAAAAGTTAAATGAATTTATTGTTCATTTAACATCTAAAGGGAAGACAGATAACCTAAAATGCGCGGACTTCGTTAGTCTATCAATGATTACCCATATGGCATCATGCTCCCTTTAAGTGATCGACAACCATTGGCTGGAAGTTTCGACTAAAGAGAGGCGACACAAAGACTAGCTTGCAGGTCGACAGGCTGGGAAAGATGGTGAGGGAAATGAGGTAAGTCAACGCCGGCAGAAGAGGGTTGTTGGGTCGACTCAGGCGGTTTCGGTCGATAGGGTTGACTGATGGACAAAGAAGCCAACGCAAAGAAGGAAAACATTTGAGCGGGAAACAGATTTGAAAGCTGAGAACGTGGGAGGTTACAAAAGTGGTGGACGGACACGTGGCGCCACCAACTTCAACATGACAGTTATTTTATTTCCCTATTTGAGGCAATGCCCAGTTTCATTTTAAGGGGTGCATTTTTGTAACATTGTAAAGGAAAAACACTCTGAGTACCAAGCATTAAGAGAAAAGAGTTTTTCATTCCTGCAAAATGTATGATCGCGTCCACCTTTCCTCTTAATAAGCAATTTATATCATTAACTTTAAAGTGTCTTGTCTTGTTGTTTTTGTCTCTTCTTGTTTACGTATTCGTCTTTATTTAACTTTACAGACTTTTCTAGAAGTGATCTTCAGCATATTCCAAACCACACCATTCCACCACTTTCCCATACATTACAAACCAGAGTTATGGGACTTGTTTGGCCGGTCCCGCAAGTAAATCTGCGTTAGGAGGCCAAAGGTTGTTAGTGCGAAAACTGCGTGCGAACAAATTGGCACACCCAGTGGGACGCGTTGGTTTGGGCGTATGCATGTACGTCGTGGTAAGATGGTGATACCACGTCCAAACAAAGAACCATCTTCAGAAAGAAATACGGTTGGGACTCAAACAACAGACATTGGCACTGACGTTGTATCTGCAGTTTCGACTGCTCATGGTGGGCCTGTCATGATGCCACGTCGGCCTGAACCTAGGCCTATGGTGGCAGGAATTATAGGGTAATATATGCCTAGTTTCACAATGCCCACACCCCGGGCCTTTAGAATGCCAACAAAGTTTATGTCGAGTCTGCATCACAGTGGCCCACTCTTTGGGGAAAGCTCTTTGTCAGCTTTTTCGCCCTATCAGGGGTTAGGGCCTTTGGCAAACCATTTCACCAGGCCCCCAGGGTTTAGTGTTCCGTAACTTTCGTTTCCAACTTTCACGTCAAGTTCTGTCGCTGTTATAAGGCAACAGATGGACGAAAGTAATCACGAAATGGTTCACATGTTGACCCAGCAAATGGGTGCCATATTACGACCACTAATACATGATTCGCCTCAGTGTTACCAACAATTGGCAACTCAGATAACGCGGATATGTGATTTTTTAGGCGCTCCTAGGGCCTTGGGTCGACAGACGCCGCCACCTCGACCGAAGACGCCAATTCGACAAGAGGAAGTCTTTGACGAGACAATTAACCAGAAACCCCGTTAAGTTGAACATACACCGTGGTGGCCCAAAGGCCTCCCGTTCTTTTAGTTCATAGAAACCAGGACCCAGACTATGTGGTCAGACAGGTTCGACTTGAATCCATGGCTGGTGAAACCAACTTAGAAGCCATGGTGGAACGAATTATGATTCACAATGGGGCGAACCCAGACCTTTGACTACCAATATATATGTCCCCACTAACAGACTTTGTTCTGCAAACAGTGTTGCCTAGAGGGTGGAAAGTCCCAAAGTTTACCAAATTCACCGGAGAGACCGAAGAGTCCACCGTCGACTATGCTGTCAGATACCAAACCGAAGCTGGCGACATAGCAAACAATGAGGATTTAAAATTGAAGTACTTCCCAAGTTCCCTCGCCAAAAATGCATTTACTTGGTTCACCACCTTATCTCTACAGTTCGTTCGTACCTGGGCGCAATTGGAAAGATTATTTCATGAACAGTTTTACATGGGACAATAAAAAATTAGTCTAAAAGATTTAGCCAACATCAAGCGAAAGGCTACATAGTCGGCGGACCAATATCTTAACAGGTTTAAACTGTTGAAAACGTAATGCTTCACACAAGTCCCTGAAGATGAGCTAGTCGAGATAGCGGCTGGCGGCCTAGATTATTCGATTAGGGAAAAGTTAGACACTCAATATCTCAGAGATATGGCACAACTAGCCGATAGGGTCCGTCAGGTCGAACGTCTAAAAAATGAAAAAAATTCAGGCTAACAGATACTATAAGAAAGAGAAAGTTTCATACGTGGTTGCTTACGAATACTCTTCTAACGATGAGGAGCTTGTCGATGATAACGCGGTCAACGTGGCTGAATTGAAGCCAGGGCCTCCGTACACATGCAAATCATTAAAATCGTCAAACGGAAAAAATTCGGTTGAAACCAAAAAACCAGATAAATATGTCGCAAAAACGTATACTTTTGATGTATCTAAGTGCGATGAAATATTTGATTTATTAGTTAAAGATGGTCAGATTATTGTCCCTCCTGGGGCAAAAGATCCCCCTTTAGAATAAAAGAAGAAAAGGGAATTTTGTAAATTTCATAATTTCCTTGGTCATAAGACATCTCAATGTGTTCTTTTCAGGGACTTGGTGCAGAAAGCTTTGAAAGAAGGCCGACTTCAATTTGGCGAAAGGCCCAAAATGCAGGTGGACACGGATCCTCTGAAATTCGAAGAAGCCTTATATCCTGAGCTATATGATTGCATGATGGTGGAGGCTACTGAAGGTCTCAACGAGCACTTGACAACTGAAACAATTGAATGCATGATGGTCGAGACTACTGATGGTCCCAGCAAGAAGTCTGACAAATTTCCAAGAGAAATGTAGAGTGAGCGGGTCGAAGGTTGTATTGTGCCCAAAATGCAACGCCGTATTTGACAAAAAGGCTGCTGAGAAGTACGAAGCAGGTAAGAAAATGGCGCTGCAAGACAATAAGCCTCAAGTCCCTAGGTTCGTGTTCGACAAGAACGATGCTCCTCGACGGAACGAATAGTATAGGAAATTGTTTCAGCCAGCGTGACCCAAGATGTTTGTGCCACCATCAAATACCCCACAAGATAACTGGGTGGCGCCTGTGAGTCAACAAGGGAGCAAGCGGCCGAAGTGGAAGGTATTAGACCTGGAAAAGGGGTCAAAGGCCTCAGACAAAGGTTTGAGCCCAGAGGTCATGTGGTTTCCCCTAACTACAAAGGCAAGAATCCTATGACAAGGATCCAATGGAGGCGATATCAACGAAACCAAAAGGCTTCCAGAGAGACTTCGACTTCGCTCCCGAAGCCTGTGGGACCCTCTGGTCTGAAAAGACAAGGTGGGTCGAGAAGGAGAAAATTGTGACGAATCAGACAACAGCAGTGACTGTGGAAACTTCAGGAGAGAAGGGGGTGGTGTCAACCCAGAGCTCGAAGTGCACATCTGGAGGTGAAAATAAGAAAGAGTCAGAGTATACTCCCCAATCAGATGAAGAAGAACTAAAGTACACTCCCCATTCGGATGAGGAATATACCTCATCATCGAAAGACGATTTCGACGAAGACATGTATGATGACACCAATGATCATACATATGGTGAAGACTTTATTGTAAACTGCAGCATCGTGTTAATATTGCCGACAGAATATGATAGGGTGTCAGAAATATCTGAAGCAGAAGAAGCTTTCCTGACAATTGAAACTACAGAAGACGAGTCATTATGCTACTACGTGATGAACAATGGTGTGGTGGAAGAACAAACAACTATGTTTGAAAGACCTAGTCCTGGAATGACGTACCACTTAAAGCTATTATTCATAAAAGCGAAGGTAGATGGAGTAGCCTTCAACAAGGTGTTCGTGGATGGAGGGGAAGCTGTCAATATAATGCCCCATACATTGTTCAAAAAGATTGGAAAAACTGAAGTTGATCTCATACAACACAACATGGTTCTATCCAATTATGAAGGGAAGACCAACAACATTTTGGGAGTGGTTCAAGTTGATCTAGCTATAGGTACCACTACCGGATCAACGCTCTTCATGGTCATAAACTCGAAGGCAAATTTCAACCTCTTATTGGGTCGAGAATGGATCCAAGGGATAGGGGCAGTTCCTTCAACTCTACATCCGAGGTTAAGCATTTGAAG